CTGTTCTATAAATAAAGCCCCTTTATATTTTAGGTTCTGAATGAACTACAGAGAAATCAGTGTGAACACGAGTGATTGTCATCTGATGGGTGCCATCTGGCCTCTGACTAGTGCTGTGGGGCCTAGGAGCCCAGTGTGTTGTAGGAGGCAGGGAATCATGATGCTGTGTGCAGCAGGAAGAATCTTGTAGCTGCTATGACTGTTGGGCATCCTCTTGGGGAATGGGTTGCATTGCTACTATTGCTGAGGTTTCTTAGAGCACCTTTACTCCAGCAGAGGATGCCCTGTTTCTATAGCAACAGCTCAGCGTGGTACAGGGTGGCTGGCAGTTTCAGAAGGGATTTTCTATAAATAGAAGTCTAAAATCATAAAAGTTTTTTTTTTTTTTAATGAACAAACTTGCTGGGCATGGTTGCGAATGCCTTTAGTCCAGAACTCACGAGGTGGAGGCAGGTGGATCTCTGTGAGATTAAGGCCAGGCTGGGCTACATAGTGAGTTCCAGGCCAGCTGTGGCTACAGGGAGATCCTGTCTCAAAAAACAAAACAAAACAAAAAAAAACCCAAAACTTTTCTCCTTCCTACAGTGGCAGCAAATGGCATCTCATCTTGTGGGCTGACTGGATAGCGGCAATATAATTCTCTGATAAAGCAGACTGCCAAATTAGATACATCTTAGAGCCAGAAGGGATGTTTAATTATCAAAGCATTTCCATAGAATCAGAGCCTGTCAGTGTACACAGGTACATGGCTGCTCTATAAAAGAGAAAAAGAAATGAAGGGAAGGAAGAAAGGGGCACCTGTGCCGGATCCCTGAGCTTACCTGCTGCACCCAGGGGTTGCTTTGCAGCTCCTGAGTACAGACTTTTGAGTTTCTGAAAAGGGCCACTATAGTGACTGCTGCCTAATGACACTCCACATGCAGGCCGCCACCACATTCCAGTGCTCCATTCAGATACACCAGGCAGAGGGAGAAACTTAGAGTGGATGGAAAGCAGACATTTTGGGGTGATTAGTTCTGAATCTAGCTTGAGAGCTAGAATCTTTCTTTTAGCACATTTCTGATTACCCATGTGGGATAAATATGGTAGTATTTTTAATGAAACAAAAATCTTCTCCTTTTGTAAATCTTGCAACTTTTTCCAATTATGAAATATTCTTCTGTCATTACAGTTGATTACTAGAGGCCAGATATCAAATATTAGGGTGCATTGAGAACAGACGAACAGACTTGCTTGATAAAGTGAGTACTTTAGAGGCAACTTTTTGACTCTGGAAAATGAATTATATTAAATTTCACCAACTTAAGTACATTATAACAACAAGCAAAAGCCTGAAAAAAGTCTGACAGACCGTTTATCTTTCTTGAAGTCTGTGAAATGTAAGATTGTGTGAATCTTACTTGTTTGCTGGAAAAGAAAAATGGTACCCTCAGTGGAGGCTATTCTGGTAGGATGCCAGATTGCAAATAAGAGAGGGATGTCTCCTTTGAGCCTTAGATCTCAGTACAGAAATGGGTATTTTTGCCTTTGATTTTAATGTGTGTTTGGCTATAATCCCATCAATGTATGACTGTAACATGACATGCCTTACACCATCACAGAATGCCATGCAAGCCATGCCCAAGAAGGTCAGTCCTTTCTAATGACTGGCTGCCTGCAAGGCCTCTGTAGTGTCTTTCATACCATGATCCAACAGTTTTTAAATATTTTATTATTTTTATTTTATGTGTTTGAGTATATTGCTTGCATGCATGTAAGTACATCTGTGTCATGCAGTGCCTTCGGAGGTCAGAAGAGAGCATTGGATTCCCTGGAACTGGAGTTACAGACAGTTGTTAGCCATCATGTATGTGCTGGGAATCAAACCCAGGTCCTTTGCAAGAGCAGCCAGTGCTCTTCTGAGCCCTCTCCAGTCCCCAACCCAACAGTTTTTAGAAACCTCCAGGAGGGGTTAAATTTTACTGACACCCTCCCCTCCCAGCACCTTGGCATTCGACTTCATTGCTTAAACAGATACTATCAATTGAAAGTGCAATGCTGTGATTTTGAACCACTCCTTGCGATGGTGCCTGAAGTTAGGGGGGAATGTGGATGCCAGCATACCCAATGCAGAGTCATCTCAGCGCCACCACTCATGTATGCACTCTGTGATGTTTTAATCATTTGGCACCTCTTGTGCTCTAGCTTTAGCTAGATGATGTAGGTAAAGTGACCATATAATTTATCACCAGAGCCACTTTTGAGAATGAGAGGGAGCTATTACAAATTTATACTGTGCTATACATTGTGCTATACACCTATAATCCCATAATTTGGAAGGCTGAGGCCAGAGAATCATGAATTTAAGACTAGCCTAAACTATATGAGACTATGTCTCAAAATCCCAAAATAGAGGATGGGGATATGGCTTAATGGGTAGAATGTTTGCCTAGCATGCACAAAGTCCTGGGTTTGATCTCTAGCACCTCAAAATCATATGGTAATTAAATGCCTGTAATCCCAACACTGGGAGGTAGAGGCAAGAGGATTAGAAGTGCAAGGTCATCCTAGGCTACATAGTGAGTTCTGGGCTACCCTGGGCTACATGAGACCCTGTCTTAACAAAACAATATAACCCAAGTCAAAATAATAATGACAGTGCTGTTTATTATTGTTGTTGTTGTTAATATTGACACAGTAGGTCATTTAGTGGGACTACCCTAGCTAATCCAGAATGGACAGTAGCCTTAGCTATGGGATGTATGGGAGCCATTCATGTCCTTGGTCCACACTTTAAGGACATATTTAATCTGCAAAACTGCTAGTACTTTTGCATTGAGTACTTTAGGAACATTATAAAGGTTCTGGGGTCTATTCTTAGCACTGTAAAAGCAAAATAAATGCAATCCATCTCTTCTACATTTTTCCATTACCCCATAATCACTCTCCCCCCTTCTGAATTATTGGCATAACAGAATGTATATGCATCTCTTATTTTTAAAAATTCCCTCATTCATCTATTGTTCCTTTTCCATATCCTCTCATAGTTGTAACAAAAAAAATTACTGAAAAATAGTCTATTCTGGACTGGAGTCCAACGAACTTTTCCTCTCCTGCTGGGCATGGACGTGCACACCTTTAATACCAGCACTTAGGAGGCAGAGGCAGGTGGATCTCTGACTTCAAGGCCAGCCTGGTCTACATAAAGAGTTCCAGCCCAGCTGGAGCTATAGGGACACCTGTCTAAAAATGACAAAAATAAGTTAATTAATTAATTAATTAATAGAAAGAAAGAAAGAAAAGAAAAGAAAAAAGGGTCTCCCTAACTCCCTAAGGCTGAGTGAGGTGGTGCATGCCTTTAATCCCAGCACTTGGGAGGCAGAGGCAGATGGATCTCCATGAGATTCAGGCTAGCTGGGGCTACAGGGAGACCCTATCTCAGAAAAAAGGAGGGGGGAGGGGTCTCACTAGATAGCCCAGGCTGGCTTTAAATTCATGGTAGGCCTCCTGCTTCAGTCTCCCAGGTGCTAGGATTACAGGTGTGTATTACCACGCCTAACTCAAACTTTTCCTGTTAAGGGCTAGATGGTATTTGTCTTTGTAGACTATGCAATGTCTATCCAGCCATTCCTTGCTGACATTCTATATGAAAAATAGCAACAGAGAATACTTCATTGAGTAAATTAGTATTCCTCCTCACATCACATTCTTTACCCACACAGGTGGCAGACAGATCTGGGGCACGGTTCACCAGCCCAGCTTTGTATCACTGTCTCTTTCCCTCTCCCAGCTCCCAGAATCTGTCATGAATACTAGCAACTTCTCTGTTGTCAGTGACAGTCTTCTATCTTAATCTTGGATGAACTCTCCAGTGTAAGTCATGTTTGTTCTTTTCCTCCTTCAAATACTTTGTGTGGCTTCTGTGAGATCACAGTCCTTGATGTTTTCTCTGCTGATAGTTTTCTCTTGAAAATTAGTTCCCTTCTTTTATTTTAGACTTCTGAGTGTTGGAATACCTGAGGGCCCAACCCTCACCTCCCTTTGCTTTCCCTCTCCTCTCTGGTGCATGGCCAGAACATACTTGAGTGAGTAAAGGAATGAATGAAATTCTGACCGACATGACTGATGCTCCAGCTGCCACAGGACTTCAGAGCTGCAGTGTTGCCACAAGTCAGCTTTAGTCACAGGACCTTGAAGTCCACATGTCCTCCATGTATGTAGCTTTAGCACTCTCTCAAATCCCCTCCTGCCGCAGATGACGTGGTAGGCTGTAATCCTTTAATTTATTGCATCCATCTTTGTGGGATTTTCTTTCCATAGAAACATACGACTCACTATTACCTTCAAGCGTACCTTTTCACTTCATTTCATTTTGGTTTCCAAGTGGGACACTCTAAATGTCTTAAAGATTTGCGACAAATCTGGATTCCCCATACAAATCTGATTTATTGTTGTTAGCACAATCTTTTGGAGCCTTTAAATCCAGAGTTTACCCCATCCCTTACTTGGAACCACCTTAGCCTCTCCAGGCTTTGAAGGCTAGTACACCTACTGAGAGACAGATGTATATACTGTTTATCTGTTGTTGTCAATACCATGTATAGTAATTGCCAAAACAGAAGGATGGTTTAGTTTTTAAACTAAAACTTTATGCCAGGTATGGTAGCACATGCCTATAATCCCAGCATTGAGGAAGCAGATGGAAAAGTATCACTGCAGGTTTGAGGCCAGCTTGGTCTACATAGTGAGTTCCAGGCCAGCCATGGCTACATTAAAACCCTGTTTCAACAAAACAAAACAAAACAAATTTATGTTTTATCTAAGAATCCTTAGTATTTCCTTGTGTCCTCTGTCTGGCTGTACTATTCTGGTACAGTAAAATAGTCAGTGTAAGACAATGAATCAAGAAAGCTTTATGGTGATATTTTGGGGGAAGCTAGAATTGATTGTAGCATAGTGACTAGTGCTTACTCACCTTCCCTCTTGTTTTTACTTATTTCTCCTTGTTTCTTTTACTCTAGGCACTTGAAGAGGCCCAGAAAGCTATTCAACAACTCTTTGGCAAAATCAAAGATATCAAAGACAAAGCAGAAAAATCAGAACAAATGGTGAGTTTAGGTTTCTTCCTAACTCTTTTAGATCCAAAGAGGAAGTTAGTGTCTCATCTAGTCACAATAATTAGTGGCTCTTCCTCCCACTGCTTGCCAACCCCAGTCATTTACTTCTCTTGGCAGGCCCCAGGAGCGCATTCCCCATGGCCTCAGTAGAGCTGCTGGACAGGGGAGACTCATAGGCCCTGCTGCTCTACATTTGCAGCAGCCGCTTTTAAATAGGAAACGTTTTCTTTATTCCCTAAAATAGTTTCCTAGTCACTTTGGATGCCTTTCTCTAGTGTGTTTATATCATGTGTTTCCCAGTTAAGCTATCTGAGATGTAATTTGGTAGCCCACTAAAACCAGTCCCCAGTCTAGGAGGTGGGGGTACCTTGCCCAGGATCCATGTGTACAGTTTTCATTAGTTCTCGCTGTCCACATTTGTGGTCCCAGGCCATATACTCAGAAGGCACCCTGCTGATAAAAAATCCAGCCCTTACCTGCAGCTGTTCACCTCACCTATAGCACACGGCTTCTGCCCTGAAATTCTGAATCATGTAATACATTTAAATGACAGTTTCCTCAACTATGAAATAAGAACAATGTCTACCTCACAGGATCTCTGTGAGAATGAAATGTTTGAAGAGCACCGAGCAGAGTACCCAAGGATCTGATTTATGGTCCTTCCTCACGGTGCAAAACACTACCAAGCAGTTTGATTACCAAGCAATACTAGTGAAGATGACTTTTTTTTTTTTGGTCTTTTTTAGACAGGATCTCCCTGTAGCCCCAGCTGTCCTGGAATTCACTATGTAGACCAGGCTGGCCTTGAGCTCGCAGAGATCCGCCTGCCTCTGCCTCCCAAGTGCTGGGATTAAAGGCGTGCACCACCACGCCCGGCGTGAAGATGACTTTTAAAAAATTAATTAATTTTTATTTTGTGTGTATGAATGTTTTGCCTGCATGTATGTAAGTGAACTGCAATGCCCATGGAGGCCAGAATAGGGCATCAGAGCCCCTGGAACTGGAGTTAAGGTTGGTTATTAGCTGCCATATGGTACGCTAGAAACCCAACCCCGGTCCTTTACAAGGAGCAGCCAGTGCTCTTAACCCCTGAGCCGTCTCTCCAGCCCCCTGAAGATTACTTTTGCTAGAGCTTATTGTACTCAGTTTTTAAGGTGGTTTTTTTTTTTTTTTTTTATGTGTAGCATGTATTGCCTGCATGTAGGTAAGTGCACCCGTGTTGTGCAATGTCTGCGGAGGACAGAAGAGGCTGTCAGATCCCCTGGAACTGGAGTTATGGACAGTTGTAAGCTGCCATGTGGGTGCTGGGATTCGAACCCGGGTCTTCTGCAAGAACAGTCAATGTTCTTAACTGCTGAGCCATCTCTCCAGCCCCGTGTTTATTTTTTTTAGACTGGCCTTGGCTGGCCTGAAACTATGTAGGCAAGGTTAGGAATGTTGGCCCAAGACAGAGTTGATAAGTGGTAGAATTGAGATTCAGCCTTAGATCAAAGCTACCATACCATACTCTGTCCTTTCTGGATGCCTGTAAATCACCATTGAAGTTAATTAACTTTGGTAGTCTGTTTTGTAGAATAGCCTTGGGTAGACTTGGCTTGAGCAGCCCTTGTATGTCCTACCAGTAAAGGTTCTGTCTAGAGAATAGCAGGTAGTTCTGCTTGTCTACTGCAGCATAGAATATGTGATAGGAGATCCTGGGAATGAAGAGACCAGTCAGCTCTGGTGCAGAACGGTGAGAAAGGATAGAGTCAGAGAAAGAATATTCAGGATTTTAATGGATAATGCATTGCAGGGGATGGGAAGAGGCATAGATGACTGATTTTAAACCCATTGGTTGAAAGCCTCTGAGTTTAGCTGGGAGTGGTAACATACACCTTTAACCCCAGCACTCAAGAGGCAGAAGCAGGTGGATCTCTGAGAATTCTAGGCCTGCCTGGTCTACATAGTGAGTTCCAGGCTAGTCAGGACTACATTGTGAGACACTGTCTGAAAAACACAAAAAAGCTGGGCTTTGTGGCCCATGCCTTTAATCCCAGTACTTGGAGGCAGAGGCAGGTGGATCTCTGTGAATTCTAGGCCAGCCTGGTTTATACAGCAAATTCCAGGCCAGCTAGGGAGACCATCTCAAAAATGACAACAACAAAAATGGCTAGAGAGATGACTTAGCAGTTATGGGTACTGACTGTTCTTACAGAGGGACCCAGGTTTGGTTCCTAGCACCCACATGGTGGCTAACAACTATCTGTCACTCCTGTTCCACAGGGCTTCAATGCCTTCTTCTGCCCTTGGCAGGCATTGTATAACATGGGTGCACTTACATATATTCAGGAAAACACTCGTACACTTAAAATAAAATTATTAAAGAAATAAAATTTTAAAAAAGAAACAAGCAAACAAAATATTAAAGGAACTGGTTAAAAATTATTTTTATTTTGAACTGTGAGACTGTTTGCATTTTTCTAAGGACCAATCTGAAGTTTTTTGTTTGTTTGTTTTTTACACAGGGTCTCCCTGTAGCCCCAACTGGCCTGAAACTTGCTATGTGGACCAGGCTGGCCTCAGTATCAAAGAGATCTGACTGCCTCTGCCTCCTGCGTGCTGGAATTAAAGGTGTGTGCCACCTGCCTGGCCTGAAGTTTTTCTAAATGACTTCATGTGCTTTGTTTTCTTGTAGAATGACTTGATGATGCCTTTACATCTTTCTTACTCTCCCCCTTTTTCTATTGTTTTCAATGTTTAGGTAAAGGAAATCACTCGGGATATTAAGCAGTTAGATCATGCCAAGCGCCACTTGACTACCTCAATCACAACACTGAACCACCTGCACATGCTGGCTGGTGGTGTTGACTCCCTGGAGTAAGTGATGTGAACCTTCTCAGTGGGCCCATAGACAATCAATCACATAAGGAAAATGGCATCATAGATTCACTGCCCTGTCTGGAAAGCCTCACTATACTGCCCCACTTTTAGAAAATTGGCCCCAAGTGTTGAGTTGTTTTTGGGTATTCACAACTTAACAGAAGATCAAAGCTTTGGGTTCCAACCTCAGCACCACAGAAACAAACAAACCATCTTCACACATAAAAAAAATGAGGTATAGGTTATCTGAGGGGGACCCAGAAAGCCCATGAGAATGACTCCAAGAAATCGACCATTTTCATGTAGTAGATCTAAACCAGTAACTCAGACAAGTGACTCAGCCCCAGAGCCACTCCCTACACTTGCCATTCTTTGGCAAGTTTTCCTTCATCTTTTGGAGTGAGTTGCATTTCATCAAAGAGACCATTTGTAAAAAATCTTCAATGTATCATTGAACCTAACTTTTTTCTTTTTTTTTTTTTTTTTGGTGTTTTTGAGACAGGGTCTCCCTGTAGCCCCAGCTATCCTGGAACTCACTGTGTAGACCAGGCTGGCCTTGAACTCACAGAGATCCATCTGCCTCTGCCTCCCAAGTGCTGGGATTAAAGGCGTGTGCCACCACGCCCAGCACCTTTTTTCTTAAACACATATTTTTTTTTTTTTAGTAGCTTCCTATTTAGCACATTAGGAATAAGATTTAAAAGGTTGATGGTTATTCACCACAAAGCAATGATCCAAAGCTTCCTTTGATAGCACTCTATATCCCTTCAGTGATGGATCTTGGACTGATTTCTCTCACCCCAGCTGCTGTGTAATGTCACTTGTGGACAGACAGAGCCTCTTCACAGAAATGCAGATGGGGCAGAATGCAGTGGAGGGGTAGAGCCTAGAAGGAAAGAGGAGGGCAGAATCTTTCTCAGCCTTTGCTGGGTGTACCCTGGGTAGCAGATGATCTCTGGTTTTTCTCCTGAAGCTGTGCTCACTCAACGCCATATGACAGTGGGACTGGAAGAGACATCTCCCTTCTTCCTTCCATTTTAACAGGTGGAATAGCAGTGGAGCACCATGGCTGGAATTTGAGCCTACCCTTTCTTTTTTTTTTCCTTTTTCTTTTTTTTTTTTTTTTTGAGCCTACCCTTTCAAACGCCTTATAAAGGAAGTCATAAATTATACATTTAATGCTAAAGCCCCACCCCAGTGAAAATTTTATACCTAATAGCTTGTGCTTCCTTACTGTGTATAACTGTTGGTTTTATCAGCATTGTTTATTCAAGCTTCATTACTCTTAGCAGCAGGGAAAGATGACATCTCTAATGCAGTTGTTTATCATTGGTTTAAAAACAAGATTTCAGTTAATGTGTAATTACAGACAAATGTTTCTTTTTGTACTCTAGAAAAATGGTTTGTTTTGCTTATATGCTGTGGTCCTCAGTAACATTTTCACCCCTGTTCTCTGTCAAAATCCTGCTCTTCATGTAATCCCCAGTCCATAAAGTCTGTCCAGATTTGCCTCTTGCCTCCCAGTGAGCATCTAGCACTTACATGTTTCTTTGTACCCCGTGGCCAATAACTTACATTCCTATTTAGAACTTAGTTCACCTTACTTGCTATTTAGTTAAATACATACTTGGCTCTCTCCCTTGTTGAATAATACCACCCTGAGAGTTTGAGCTAAATCCTTTCATTTTTCTTCCCCAGTGCACAGTATCATTTATATTCAGCACTTGGTAAATGTTTGTTACGTCTAGTTGATACCTGTTTTAGAGCTATAGTTGATTATTCTACACGTGTATCTTATGCCCTTAGTGTTTAGTTTCAAGAGTTTTCAACTTCTATCCTTGCAGAGCCATGACCAGGCGCAGACAGTATGGAGAAGTTGCCAATCTCCTTCAGGGTGTGATGAACGTTCTGGAACACTTCCACAAGTACATGGGAATCCCACAGATCCGACAACTTTCTGAAAGGTAAAATTTCCTTGGAGATGATGTCTTTCCATAAGGAAAGGTTGTGCTGGGACTACTTTCACACTGAGCCTACCATGTTCATTGTCTCAGCCTTAAATGCTTGTTGATCTCACTCTCCATACCCTCTACCTTGTCTCTGGAAGCTACCCATGTCAGATAGCTGCCTTTGTATGTATTCACAACTCTCCATTGTTCACAAAACCTGTTGGCACTTGGCTTGGTTTGGGGAATAGCTTGTCTCTGCACCATGTACTACCAACTGAAGCAGTTTAAGAGGGGACTGGAGGAGCTATCAGCTCCTCCTGTGGCTGGCACATGGTGCTCACTGTCAGCTGGAAGCTCAGTCAGGCTGTGGCCTGGGATCCCTGTTGTCCTCATGGCTATTTAGGCTTTCTCATAGTAAGACAGCTGGGGCTCAAGAATGAGTGCCCCAAGAGAACTTGGCCTTGGGAGTCACATAGCATCACTTTTGCCATAGTCAGAAAGCCATTGAGGCTCAAGAGGAGAGAATATATCTTCCTCTACTCTCTCTATTTAGAGGACTATCTAAGTCACAATGGTGAAAAGAGCATGTTGAATGAATGCATTGCTGTGGCAGTCTTTAGAAAATACATTGTGCCTGTAGAGCATCAGATATGACAGTGATAGCTTTCTCTCTAACCTTATTCTTTCTTACTACCACTCTTGAGGTTTTGGGTTTTTTTCTGTAATGTTTTAT